AATAATGATAGCCCTAACAATGATAGCCATAACAAGGATAGCCATAACAATGATAGCCATAACAATGATAGCCATAATAATGATAGCCATAACAATGATAGCCATAAAAATGATAGCCATAACAATGATAGCCATAACAATGATAGCCATAACAATGATAGCCATAATAATGATAGCCATAACAATGATAGCCCTAACAATGATAGCCATAATAATGATAGCCATAACAATGATAGCCATAACAATGATAGCCATAACAATGATAGCCATAACAATGATAGCCATAATAATGATAGCCATAACAATGATAGCCATAATAATGATAGCCATAACAATGATAGCCCTAACAATGATAGCCATAACAATGATAGCCATAACAATGATAGCCATAACAATGAAAGCCATAACAATGATAGCCATAACAATGATAGCCATAACAATGATAGCCATAAAAATGATAGCCATAACAATGATAGCCATAACAATGATAGCCATAATAATGATAGCCATAATAATGATAGCCATAATAATGATAGCCATAATAATGATAGCCATAATAATGATCAAAGGCATCTTAGGATCCGCAATAGTGGGACGTAAGCTATATACATTCTAGTCGCCCTCCCTTGAGGGTACGCTTTTGCCCTTGATTATTCTCGCCCCCTGAAATCTTTATTGATAAATCAAAAGTACAAGAATTCATTTTAGTACATATCTCAATTTTGCTTTGCAACGTTCTACAACAAAGTGGAGAGCAACGGGAGACATCTTAGTTTAAAAAATGTAGATGTCATTAAATCTTAGAACCACCGCGTGCGCCCAGCAACAACTGCGACTGCAAGGGTGCCTCGGATGCGTTAGGAGTTTAAAGATGTGATGAGGATATTTTTCTTAATTATCATCTTTCGATGCAGTTGGAAAAAGGGCGGGAAAATGGGGGGGGGGGGGACAAAACGGAAATTGCTTGATCTGCTTCTGTTATGCAAAAATATTGTATAGTACTAACATGGCTATTACTTATTTATTTACATTATTGGGGTGGGGGTTGTGGGGCGGTAGGGGGGTGTAGCTACTTAATTAATAAATTAATTTTCAACACACAAAAATAAAGTTAAAAAGGTGACCATCGCTAAAAAGCAGCGTAACAATTATTTTATGTGCTGAAGGTAAGTGGAATAAAAAAAGAAACCAAAGCAATTTACTTCTAATAATTAGGTTACCTTTTCAAAATATTACCAAATTTTACCTGAGTCAACAAAAAATAAGAAAAATAATCCCCCCAAAAGCAAAATGTTAATAATAAAGTTCTGTAAATTTGTATGGGTTTCGGAAACTGGTCATTTTTATAAATCGTATAGGAACAGCTTAAGTATAAATCTGGAGTGGCCAGTGTGATATTTATAATCGAATACCATACGCCTTTAACAAGGTTAGCCTTAAATATACAGATCATCAGAAATATCGAGCGTTGTGATATTTACTAGATTCCACTCATTGTAATCGCTTAAAGGCACTAGATATTATTTTTTTTTTAAACTGTTTAAAAAAGACAATTGAGTAGTTTTTAATTTAAATAATATTTAATCTTTATATATATTGTAGTACATATTTTGATACTGAAGCAGACACACAAAATGACACAGACAGAACAGAATAATGATACAAGTTTTAGAAGGGAAAATATTTAAAACGTAGTAATTTCCACGTACTAAGAAACTAATTTTTCATTGAACAAAATCGTGTTGTTGATTTAGAATGTCATTGTCTCTATCATTTACTGGGCCAGAAAATATAAATTCCTCTTCCTAGGTCAGAGATCGTCAACTTGTTTTGAGTTGGTAGACACTAAATAAATAACATCTGCTTACAATGGTATGGGAGGCTCAGGAAAAAATAATTCTATTAAAAAAAAAGACAAAAGCCACACCTATTCCTCCCAAGAGTTGAATCTATTCCTTCCATGTGTTACATCTATTCCTTCCAAGAGTTGAATCTATTCCTTCCATGTGTTACATCTATTTCTTCCAAGAACCGGATCTATTCCTTCCATGTGTTACATCTATTCCTTCCAAGAGTTGAATCTATTCCTTCCATGTGTTACATCTATTCCGTCCAAGAACCGGATCTATTCCTTCCATGTGTTACATCTATTCCTTCCAAGAGTTGAATCTATTCCTTCCATGTGTTACATCTATTCCTTCCAAGAACCGGATCTATTCCTTCCATGTGTTACATCTATTCCTTCCAAGAACCGGATCTATTCCTTCCATGTGTTACATCTATTCCTTCCAAGAACCGGATCTATTCCTCCCATGTGTTACATCTATTCCTTCCAAGAACCGGATCTATTCCTTCCATGTGTTACATCTATTCCTTCCAAGAACCGGATCTATTCCTTCCATGTGTTACATCTATTCCTTCCAAGAACCGGATCTATTCCTTCCATGTGTTACATCTATTCCTTCCAAGAACCGGATCAATTCCTTCCAAGAGTTGTATCTATTCCTTCCAATAGCCACATCTATTCCTTTAAAGAGTCGCATCTCTTCCGTCAAAGAGTTGCATCTACTCCTTCCAAGAGTCGGATCTATTCCTTCCAAGAGCCTGATCTATTTCATCCAAGACCACTGTGCAAATTTACAGTTAGTAATTCGTCTCTATTGCCAATTCAACTAGTATTTTTAACCCCTCGGCACTCAGGCCTAAAATTAACTGACCTAATAGGTCTCCTGTCGAAAGTCAGGCCTAATAAGTAAAGGACCTTATGGGCCACATCTCGGCTCACAGGGCTAATACTAACTGAACTACTAGGTCCCCTGTCATTCCTCAGGTCTTATACTAAATGACCTAATAGGTCACCTATCGGCACTCGGGTCATGTACTAATTAACCTAATAGGTCCGTTGTCAGCACTCAGGCCTAATACTAACGGACCTAATAGGTCACTGGTCGGCACTCAGGCCTACTTCTGATATATCCTTTAACTTTCGGTTTGGAGGTAAACCTGCGAGCTGTGAATATCTTTAAGGAATTGAGTTCCTTTGAAGGAAACAGATATTTTATATTTAAGCCAGCGATTCCTAAACTCGTCAGTGTCATGACCCCCTGATTACAATTGCCAAATTTTAGCGACCTAAAACAAAGATTATTTCTAGAAATTGAGACATGAATGTTGTAACCCCCCCCCCCCCCCCCCTTTTTTTTTTTTAAGATGGTTCTTGGGTGGTTTTTTTTTTTTTTTTTTTTTCAAAGTGTGTTTAAGGTTTGTTTATTTATTTATTTTTTTTTGGTGGTGGGGTATATTTGAAGTTACAGACTTTTTCTACTGACTGTAATGTGTATGTGCGTTGTACATATATTGTTACAACCTGCTGATATCTTATATGTAGTCAGGATCTGCTCGGCGCGTCTAGATGTTGAGTTATCCATGCAATCAAGTCATGACATACAGATAGCCACATGTTACAAAATGGAAAATGAAATATGTTACTGCACTGATGTGAATGGTGTCCTTCTGGCGTTAGGTTTCAAATCGGTGTCTGATCAGGTGGGGGGGGGGTGTCACTGTTGACATGTTCCAACAAAACGGTTTCCGAAAGCGCTGCTGTTAAACAGGGGTAACCAGTGCCGGCTTTAGGTATAGGTGATGCAGGCGATTGCCCGCCTTAGGTTTAGTCGGTACAGGCGGTTGCCGGCCTTAGGTATAGTCGGTACAGGCGGTTGCCGGCCTTAGGTATAGTCGGTACAGGCGGTTGCAGGCCTTAGGTATAGTCGGTACAGGAGGTTGCCGGCTTTAGGTATAGGCGGTTGCCGGCTTTAGGTATAGTCGGTACAGGAGGTTGCCGGCTTTAGGTATAGGCGGTTGAAGGATTTAGGTATAGGCGATACTGGCGGTTGCAAGTTTGGGGTGACAAGTTATGGGGAAATAAGAAATGTGATTTAAAAAAAAAAAATTAAAAATCCTCTTCATTTACCATAACCATCGGCCACAGTTGTAGGATTCTGTGTCGGGATGGGGAAAGGTGTTGGGGCAGGGCACTTCGGAAATTAGACTAATCAACAGACGGCCAGCAGTCGTTCAATTCTACTTTTAGGTTTATGCCTGTTTAAGAGTTAAGTCACTAAGCATTCGTTGTTCAAACTCGTTCTCCTTTTGGGGAGAAGTTACATACTAAAAAGTAGAAAAAGAAAGAAAAAGGCACTTTTAATTTTAAAAAAAAAAAAGACTTTCTGTCACAAACGTGTTGAAACGAACTAAAAAGTCGAAAATAATTTTCTTAAAATTTAAGTCTAACTTTAATTCGACTGTTATGGCTTCCTATAGTGCCTTTCTACCCTTCTGCACAGACTTTCTTTGTGTAATGAAATATACGAAAATTATTTTTTTTATTTTTTAGAGCGTTTAAATTCGTCTATGAAAGAACGACTTATTTTAATTTTTAAAAAAATCACTTGGAACACTATTTAGAGACATTTTTTTATATTTTATCATTTTAATATGTTGTGTTTTTTAAGGGCATGTGTCTGCTGCTTTCACAAAAGAGATCATTATGGTCTTTGGTGTCGATTTTCCCAGATTACTCTCAAAGGTTCGCATGGCGTCAAATGTTAAGGTTATGACGCCCCGTCAGAATGAATGTCACCGAAGGCAGCGCCTCAGCCAGTCTTTATTATATTTGAGTAAGAGCAATCCCCCCCCCCCATACAAAACAGCTTAGTACACAGGATGGCAGCAACTGTCACTTAACTGAATAGCTTATGACATCTATTTACACAATTCCTCTTTCATTTTTACCAAGTCTTTCAGGTTGTTCAATGCTAGCTGCTGTCCTATTATATCTCCGGAAGCGTTCATCAAATTTCCTGCTGACCAAAATTAGCTTCAAGATGACCTTCAAAAGCTCTGATATCAAATGATGCTAACGTGAATTCTTTGAACCGTACTGCACTTTAATTTCGATACCCTTCCTTATTATTTGATAGAAACGAACGATCGTGATGTTTTATAGAAAAATATATCATTTAATGCACATCTCCAATTCATTCATTACATAATACACGACAGTACATCATACATGGCGGTACATCATACACGGCAGTGCGTGCTCCATGACTTTTAAAGCAATGTGTGTCGTCACTTCCGTCAACCAACAATCACGTGATTGTTAAAGTCTACCGGGGCCAGCTTGCAGATGTCAAATTTGTAGAGGCGGTCCCTGGGAACAGAAAGAGAAGCATTTGTAGTTAACATTGAAAGATTTAACAAAACTCTACACTTTAAACAAACTTTTCTAAAGCTGTGTTGTATCGATGGTCAGCACTTTCAGAGCTGTGTGGATGAGTGACACTTTTCAAAGGTTGTGTGTGTGGGGGGGGGGGGGTAGAAATTTTAAACAAAAAAATAAAGAGTTGCGTAGAAGCGTAGAAGCGTAGCGGCTACTAAGTTGAATGGAGGGGTAGCACCTAAATGGGTGGGTTAATGGGTTAGCAACTACTTGTATGGATGGTCAGCAGTTTGAGAGGTGTGTGGATGAGTGACACTTTTCAAAGGTTGTGTGTGTGGGGGGGGGGTGGTAGAAATTTTAAACAAAAAAATAAAGAGTTGCGTAGAAGCGTAGAAGCGTAGCGGCTACTCAGTTGAATGGATGGGTAGCACCTACATAGTTGGGTTAATGGGTTAGCAACTACATAGTTTTGTGGATGGTTAGCACCTATAGAGTTGTGTGGATGGGTAGAAGATATACAGTTGTGTCGATGAGTAGCACCCATAGAGTTGTGTCGATGGGTAGCACCTTTACAGGTGTGTGGATGGGTAGCACTTATAGAGTTGTGTGGATGGGCAGCACCAAAGAGTTACGTTGATGGGCAGCAATTACAGAGTTCAAGCGAGATGCTACGCGTACTTATATGTTCTTAGCCTACAACGGTTGATTTCTTTTGTACTTCTTATTCGTCATCATTATCATCCCGTTTCATCAACCATTTAAGGCATGTTGAAAATCCTTCTCACTCCCCGAAGCTGCTCTTTGCACGTGTCTAGGGCGAGGGTGTCACCTGCTGTGCCACACGGGTCATTCAGTTAAACAAACACCCACCGCTGACCTATGTCAACCATAACGTACCTACGGTTCTGGTCATAGATACTCTCCACTCCCCTGAGCACGTGGTCGTTGGGCACCCTGTAGTTCATTACGTCACCATAAGTGTTGATGAATGACGTGTACATACACTCGTGTGTCACATAATCTGTATGAAACAATAACATTAACAACCGTATGTCCGAAAACAAATATTTGGTTCTCAATTTGTTGGAACCGGCATAATAAAAAAACAACAACACATGTTTCGTTTAAATAAAAGCATTTTCTCGAATTATCATTCTAGAAAAAATGTAATTCAATTGTTTTCTAGATTTTATGTGAGGAATTAACTTTAATTAAAAAAAAAAAACAATATTAGATCATTATTCTAGTTTTGTCCCAAGAATGTTCCCAGAGAAAAGACACAACTAGGAAGTGATCTTACTAAGGCTTAACCACGAAAAATTCGCTCTTTTTTTTTTGTTTCTCCATTTTTGGAGTGCGTTACATATCTCAAGGGAAAAACAATTAAATTTCAATTTAGAACAACGGACCGAATCAATTACCTTGTGGATTGCAACACTGGAATGACCATATCCTGTCTAGCTTGGATCTGTCATAAGTGGATGCTATCCCTGTGACTATGTAGTCACTAGGGCACTGGAATATAAGAACCTCGTTGTAGTTGTTCTGAGCACCTGGAAAAAAACAAAGTTGTCAAGTATTAAGCGTCAAAGCTCATCACTATTGTCACCGTTAGCCTTGGTGCCCAGCGAATCGATACAGGGCCAGAGTCCTAATAAATCATAGACCTGAAAACTTCACTGTACTGAAAATTTCGGTTCATCGACTGAACATTTCGGTTTATTGACTGAACATTTCGGTTCATTGACTGAATATTTCGGTTCATTGACTGAACATTTCGGTTCATTGACTGAATATTTCGGTTTATTGACTGAATATTTCGGTTTATTGACTGAAAATTTCGGTTCATTGACTGAATATTTCGGTTCATTGACTGAACATTTCGGTTCATTGACTGAATATTTCGGTTTATTGACTGAACATTTCGGTTCATTGACTGAACATTTCGGTTTATTGACTGAATATTTCGGTTCATTGACTGAACATTTCGGTTCATTGACTGAATATTTCGGTTTATTGACTGAATATTTCGGTTTATTGACTGAAAATTTCGGTTCATTGACTGAATATTTCGGTTCATTGACTGAACATTTCGGTTCATTGACTGAATATTTCGGTTTATTGACTGAATATTTCGGTTTATTGACTGAAAATTTCGGTTCATTGACTGAATATTTCGGTTCATTGACTGAACATTTCGGTTCATTGACTGAACATTTCGGTTCATTGACTGAACATTTCGGTTTATTGACTGAACATTTCCGTTCATTGACTGAACATTTCGGTTCATTGACTGAATATTTCGGTTCATTGACTGAACATTTCGGTTCATTGACTGAACATTTCGGTTTATTGACTGAACATTTCGGTTCATTGACTGAACATTTCGGTTTATTGACTGAACATTTCGGTTCATTGGCTGAACATTTCGGTTCATTGACTGAACATTTCGGTTTATTGACTGAACATTTCGGTTTATTGACTGAACATTTCGGTTCATTGACAGAATATTTCGGTTTATTGACTGAACATTTCGGTTCATTGACTGAAAATTTCGGTTTATTGACTGAACATTTCGGTTCATTGACTGAACATTTCGGTTCATTGACTGAACATTTCGGTTTATTGACTGAACATTTCGGTTTATTGACTGAACATTTCGGTTCATTGACTGAATATTTCGGTTTATTGACTGAATATTTCGGTTCATTGACTGAACATTTCGGTTTATTGACTGAACATTTCGGTTCATCGGCTGAACATTTCGGTTCATTGGCTGAACATTTCGGTTCATTGACTGAATATTTCGGTTCATTGACTGAACATTTCGGTTCATTGACTGAACATTTCGGTTCATTGACGCTATCCGACCCCCCCCCCCCCCCCCTTATTCACCGTGTTTGTGCACTTTTTAAAAGTTATTTTAAAATTATTTTTTGGGGACATGGCTTCCATAGTGTTGCCACGACAGCAGACAAAAACAATGACGATCATGTCGTGCAAAAACACAAGTGCAACTGAACGAAGCAATTGGAAATAAAGGAAAATGATGAGCACTAGCAATTTGGCTGACGTAAAACACGTTTGCACGTACTGGTGGAAACCCGTACAAATACAGAAAAAGCTTGACAATTATTTTTTTTAAAAATGAAAATAATTAAAACCCAACTAAAAGTTTCATTAAAATTTATTTCTACAATTTTAATTATAATATCCGCGGAAAATGAAATTAAAAGGAACTCAGAAAATTCCAAATCAATTGATAAAAGTAATCGCACTTTTGCCATTGTTCACATTTTGATTCACCAGTGCAAAATAGCCAGAATGGAAAAAAAAATATTAGGACAATGATGTCATCAATTTGTGTGTGCTTTTAAAACAAAGAGCAGAGTACTCATACTTTCATAAACCGAACTGCTGCCTGACTTAATTTGTCCCGTCTCATATGAAAATAATAAGTTTTCATCGCACACGTAAAGTTAAACAATGGGTATCAACTTACCGCTCCACTCACACGAGGAGAGGTCCACCCAATTTGGTAGGATGCTGCAAGACATGTTCCACACCCTGTCGTACTGACCGACGCCAAAGAAACTCTCCAGACGCCTGACGGTTTGACCAGCCGGACAAGCGAGTTGGAAATTAGATTGATACGTGGTCATCCAAGAGTCAGCAGGCCGCACCACGGTGACCAGCAGGGTGAGAATGAGGGCGAGGTGGGTGGCGATGGAGCACAGCATAGCTAGTAATTGTAAGCGGTGATTTCAAGTTGTTCAGGTAATCCTAAATTAATTTCATGTTTTATACTGCTGACAACAATAGCGACGTTATCTTGGAACTCGTCTTGATACACTCTACGCCATGGGCATAGGCGCAACGGAAAGTCTGATCAACAATTGGTGGACATAGGGGGATACTGGCATAGGCGGAACTAAAAGTCTGACTAATATTGGCGGACATTTTGGGATTCTGGCACAGGCGGAACTGAAAGTCTGACCAACATGATGGACACATTGGAATACTGACATAGGTGGAACTGAAAGATGACCAACATGATGGACACATTGGAATACTGACATAGGTGGAACTGAAAGATGACCAACATGATGGACACATTGGAATACTGACATAGGTGGAACTGAAAGATAACCAACATGATGGACACATTGGAATACTGACATAGGTGGAACTGAAAGATGACCAACATGATGGACACATTGGAATACTGACATAGGTGGAACTGAAAGATGACCAACATGATGGACACATTGGAATACTGACATAGGCGGAACTGAAAGATAGACCAACATTAGCGAACAGTTTGGGATACTAGCATAAGCGGAAATTATGTCTCACAATCAACTAGAATTGGTATTTTGACAAAGATTTTCGTGCCTCACGGTTAAGTCTCACACTGGAATGTTTGTAAAGTCTCACAATCAAAACATTTTGTAAAGTCTCGCAATCAAGACATTTTGTAAAGTCTCACAATCAAGACATTTTGTAAAGGGTCTAACAGGTCATTCTCAGTGACCTACTTGGACCTTAACGACGTAAGTAAACTAATAAATCACGCAAGCAAAGGCCAACGATACATTCTTTGTAAAGTCATCTTCATCCAGTGTTTTTAGTGTCGCAGTTGAGTCACACTCCATTGTAATGAGAGGCAAACTGCCCTCCCTATGTCACTCCAGCCATGGCCTCACCAAGCCATCACCATCGCGTTAGACCCTCTGTGTAGATCATGCGAGTGTATTTCTACCTGCATCCGTCGAATCAATTGGGCGTACGCCGTTTGAAGATCTTGGGGATCGGACGTGAGAACTACAAGAAACACAAAAATACATACAATTAATGGAAAAAAAGGCTAATGGTATCCTAATATTTCGCTTCAAAGTCATTCGATATTTTGTATAACAAATTAAAGACTACTCCTCTGGCAAGAAAAGGCCATGCGTTAATACGCATGTAGAGGTCGTGGAGTGAGCGAACCAACAAGAAAATTGCAGTTTTGGCATCTGAATGGACTAGTGGCCTGGAGAAGATAAGATGACAAGGTCATTTCTGTGCTTGAAAACGTAAACATGCGAATAAGACAAGTACTTTTAATCGTGTGTGTTACAGTTGTTCATTTTAGGCTCTGTGATGAACCCATCTGGATAATCCGCCCTGGGCGGCCCCTCACTTCTTTATAATGAAAAGGGGGGGGGGTGGCATTTTCGGAAAACGGCAGTGGGGTTTTTTTTCTCGTGGATTGGAGTGGCAAGATGCTTGTCCCACCCTGGGAGTGACTATCTCTTGCCACTGCAAACACTCTTCTCGCTCCGAAACCCCAGATTTTTACCCCCCCCTTCCAACTCAATCTCGTACCCCCTACATTCCATATACTTTTGTCATATCCCCCACCCCACTACTCAAGTGTCCCCTCTCACTTTCACAATTTACTATATGGCGTTAAGAAAACACAATTAACTATCCAGGCTTACGCAAAGAATTTTTTTTTAAAAATGTGATGATAGATTCAACTTTAAATATTTCGGCCGTCAACGTCCCTTTAACCGGCCCGCCGACAGTACTTGAATGTGCTTTGAAAAACGTACGGGAAAAAATGGAACACGAGACGTTGTGATACAATTTAAAATTCAATATTATGTTTAGAATACTAGGAGATCTTCAAAAGCAGGGAGAGCGTCTGGCTGCTATGCACCTTAAATTTGCCATTTAAAATGTTAACTTATTGTATCTAGATTTTCTTGCAGACCTGTTTACCCTCGCCATTTTAAAATCGTACAATTTCGTCTCAAAATCGTACAATACAGTATCAATAAATAAATGTAGAATATATATAATGAATACAATTACTAATCACATCGCAGTCCCCAGTGGAATTAAGTTAAGCTGGCTTCAAAAAAGTTAACTCCTAAAAGGAGATGCCCTACGTTTATATTGCAATCTGTGGTCACTTTGTTTCGCAGACGTGTATTTTCCACAGATATTAATTTATATTTAGTGGACGTACATATCACATTATCACAGTCTGTCACTGGTAAAAAAATAAGTTTACTGGTGAAATTTAACGTCCTTTAAACTCGAAGTGAGATCAGCATAAAACAAGATGTATTTACATAAGAATTTTAACATCATAATTTAAAAAAAACAAACAAGTAACTAGAGATTTGTTGTTTTAGGAAAAGCTGGTTTAAAAAAAAATTAGAATCAGTATCAATTAAGTCTATTCCGGCTGATATATTATAGTCTGATAAATACCACAGACTGTGAATGGGTGAAAGGAAATGTCTGAAACATACGTATGAAATAATTATGTCTTAAAATTACGTTATAAGGCAACGAAGAAAGCAAAAACGAAGATTGACTAAAATTGTCACTGAGACGACTATGCTAATTTTACATTTGCCGTATCTAGTGAGCAATGTTCCCTCTAAGGTTTGCTGGTTCGTGCGCAAAATCATACAGTTGTGTGCAAAGTTTTACAGCATCAATGTTTTGTGTGCAAAATTTTACAGCAAAAAAAAAACAAAAAAAAAAACACACACACACTCACGCACACGGAAATTAAATAAATGAACGTAAGTGGAAAAAACTTTTATATATAAGATTTACTAAAATTGTCACTGAGACGACTATGCTAATTTTACATTTGCCGTATCTAGTGAGCAATGTTCCCTCTAAGGTTTGCTGGTTCGTGCGAAAAATCATACAGTTGTGTGCAAAGTTTTACAGCATCAATGTTTTGTGTGCAAAATTTTACAGCAAAAAAAAAACAAAAAAAAAACACACACACACTCACGCACACGGAAATTAAATAAATGAACGTAAGTGGAAAAAACTTTTATATAATTAAATAAAGGTGCTATGATTATATCATTATAATCAGAAATGTCCCGATAGTTCAATCGAAACTATTTTTACTTCTATTATTTATCTCGTCATTGGGTCATTCCACCACACCCACTACCAATGACCGCAAGTCATTTGATTGACTCATTTCTGGAGGTACTCTGGCGTCTGTCTGGCAACGGTATCCATCTTTTAAACCCATCGTCAAGGTTGATCTGATGTCCATTTTTCTGATAAGATTTAATCCTCATTGTCTAAATGTAACTCTTTTAGCCTATTTCTAGATATTTTTTTTTATATTATTCATTTGGCTGAATCCACGTTTGATGCAAGAAATATAGCAAACATATCCAACAGAATGTCAATGTCGCCGAATCACTCTTGATTTATTACAAATCGAACCATCTCTTCGAAACTCTGCATCAACCCACATTTCATTTTTTTTTTCCTGCAAGTACAAATTTTATTTACAATACTGAGCCTTAACTTTCGGCAGAATGTCATCATAGTTTTCCAGGAATGCCGCATATCTAGAAACCAGTGATGCAAGTTCTTCTCGGCCAAAGTTAAAATCGGAAGTGTCAACTAACGCTGATATCTCAAAGATTCGCGATTGCATCAACTCACTTGAGCCCACGTGCAAACATAAACATTCAACGATTTTAGCATGGAACTTATGTTTATGTCCTCGTCATTTGCAAGCAATTTAGAAACCTTTTGGAACCAGTGCACATTTTCACCAAGGTGCTGGGCACGGAGCTTAGCGATCCTTGCTTTTTAAACTCGTATCCCTCGATGGACGTAAGATTTTTTTCCTTGTAGCAGCTTGCATAATTCAGCAAGTTCACCAACAAATTCAGCAAAGAGAATCAGTGCAGTTTGAAACTGCGGATCCCTTATTTTTTTTTCCAAACATTACTTATCAACTTGATAATTTTACAGGCCCACCTGCTCGTCACCGTATTCAGTCAACCCTTGTATGTTTCTCAGCAATGCTCATCAAACAAAGTGTCGCGAAAGCCATCTGATTTCATTCAATGGTCTAAAGGCTACGGTATCACATTCAAACACCTTAGCTAGTGCGGTAAACTGGGCTTTCCGTACAGTCGACCTACTGAACAATGTTGTCACTGTCCTAAGGAATGTTTCAATGTCTGCCATTAAACGTGTATGTTTGCAAGCACCATCGATGCCTAAATCTTCACTATGTGCAATGCAATGTTGTCACTGTCCTAAGGAATGTTTCAATGTCTGCCATTAAACGTATATGTTTGCAACCACCATCGATGCCTAAATCTTCACTATGTGCAATGCAATGTTGTCACTGTCCTAAGGAATGTTTCAATGTCTGCCGTTAAACGTGTATGTTTGCAAGCACCATCGATGCCTCAATCTTCACTAGGCGCAATGCAATGTTGTCACTGTCCTAAGGAATGTTTCAATGTCTGCCGTTAAACGTGTATGTTTGCAAGCACCATCGATGCCTCAATCTTCACTAGGCGCAATGCAATGTTGTCACTGTCCTAAGGAATGTTTCAATGTCTGCCGTTAAACGTGTATGTTTGCAAGCACCATCAATGCCTAAATCTTCACTAGGCGCAATGCAATGTTGTCACTGTCCTAAGGAATGTTTCAATGTCTGCCATTAAACGTGTATGTTTGCAAGCACCATCGATGCCTAAATCTTCACTATGCGCAATGCAATGTTGTCACTGTCCTAAGGAATGTTTCAATGTCTGCCGTTAAACGTGTATGTTTGCAAGCACCATCAATGCCTAAATCTTCACTATGCGCAATGCAATGTTGTCACTGTCCTAAGGAATGTTTCAATGTCTGCCATTAAACGTGTATGTTTGCAAGCACCATCAATGCCTAAATCTTCACTAGGCGCAATGCAATGTTGTCACTGTCCTAAGGAATGTTTCAATGTCTGCCATTAAACGTGTATGTTTGCAAGCACCATCGATGCCTAAATCTTCACTATGCGCAATGCAATG